TAATTTATATTATCTCCGTCTGGTTGTAAGGATCTCATTTACTTTTTGTGTATTGATTTTTTAATATTAATTATTATATCAAAACATACTATAAATTAAGAAAAAATTAGAAAAATACTTCAGTTAATATCTTATAATACTAATAGAAGAACATTTGTACATAATATTATACAAATATAAAAATATTTTTAATATTGAGTACAATTACGCAAAAGGTAAATATGATCTTTAGAGTCTGACCGAGGAAATATTAATTATATATAAACATCTATTTTTATTATATAGTATTGTATTTTATTATTTTATTTGTAGTGATATATATTATTGAGTTATAACTCTTAAAATAATTTATACATATTTTTAATTTATTTTTAATAAAATATACATATTATTTGTCCCATTTTAATATGTTTTTTTAGAATTTTATAGTAGATTAAGTATTTTTTATTATATTTTATTGTTAATAAAAGTATGTAAGATGACATTCTTACCATTTGCATTTTATGTATAAATTAATTGTATATATATAATTTATGTAAAAATTAAAGATATCAATATATAATTATTTTTATTATAATAATATTTTTTTTTGAATAAAATATAAAAAATAGTAAAAATGATAATTTCACTTAAATCCGGAGAAGTATTCTATAATACTCCATCCGTCCCAAACACCCTGCAACATTTTTTTTTAGTATGTTCCAAACACTGCAATATTTTCAAAATAGGAAATAATTAATCATACTTAATCTATATCCCACACTTTATCCCCTCGCATCATCCAAATAAAAAAATAAAATATACATTTCTCTCTCAATCACATCACTTAATTTCTAAATTATCCTACTTAATACTACCCACCTAAAAATTCGCGCCAAAAGTAAATGTTGCAACTTATTTGGAAAGAAGAGAGTATATTTTAATTATATAAAAAAAATGCTTATAATATTTATATATAGACAAATTATTTAATTACCGTAAATAACAAATATAAAATGCTTTAAAATATTTATAATTTTTTTTAAAAAAATTATGGTTTTATTAATTATGAATTTTATAAAAATTTAATATTAAAAATAAAAAATATATATATTGGAAAATTGACTAACAATGTGCTATATAAATATTATTTATTTTTATTTATATAATTGATATTATTATTTAAGGTAAGTGTAATTGTAGATTAGAAAATGTGATACACCATTAAATAATGAGATATGTATTATTTGATTATAAATTTATTTTTTATGTAATATATCTTTTATTAAAAAAAAATTTAAATATATTTTGAATGTTTTAAAATTTATATATTGTATAATAAATACTAATATATATAGATAACTAATAGTATAATTAAATTTTAATATGTGAAATTTTACCGAAAAATTCAAAAATTCACCAAGAATTTCATCCAAAATCACAAAAGAGTAAGGGGGTGTTTGGCAAATAGCTTTTTGAATAGCTTTTAGCTTATTGAACAGCTTTTAGCTGTTCGATCACTCAAAAAACTAATTTAGGTGTTTGGTAAATTAGCTTTTTGGAATAGCTTTTTGGACCCAAAAAGCTAATTTCTGAAAAGCTAACTTACCCAGCGTTTTGAAATAGCTTTTTCGAAAAAAAAAATTTATTCCTTATATGTCCTTAAAAATTTATCATGCATTTTACACAAATAAATATATTTTGATTATATTATAATATTTTATTATAATATAGTTTTACTTTTATAAATTTAAAATAATTAATTTTTATATAAAAATTATTTTAATTGTAAAATATATAAATTTATTAAAATCAACATAAAATATAAAATATAAATATTAATAATTTATTTTTATATTAAAATTACATTATATAAATTTTATACTAAAAATAAATTAAATAAATTAAATTTATTGAAAATTATAAATATAATGAACTAATCGATAACTAATATAATAAATATATACACGAAAAATTTATTATTTTATATTTTACATCATTTTCAATAGAAAAAACTATTTGTATATTTTAATAAAAATATATTATTTTTTTAAATATAACTGTAATAAAAATAAATACTTTTATAACACTTTTACCATTTTCAATAACTAATAACAAAAATTTTTAAACATTCTAAACTCAAAAAAACATAATTAAATATATTATAAACAAAAATAAAATAGAAATGTTCTCGATTGTCATTTTACGTACAAACAACTAATATCAAACAGTTGTTTTACTAAATATTTTAATACAAACAGCTAATCGAATCAGCTAGTCAAACCAGCTAATTGAATCAGCTAACAGCTATCAGCTAATTGAATCAGCTAACAGCTAACAACTATAAGCTAATTGCCAAACACGCTCTGAATAAAGAGGAAAAGGAGGTTTTTGGTGTGTGAAAATTGAGCGTGAAAATGACCTTTTTATATATACTTTTGGGATTGTGTTAAAATTAATAAAAAATTATTATTTTTTTTAAAAAAAATAATTAATTACAAACATAAATAAGAATTAAAAAAACATTAAATTAATTTTAAATTTATTAAAAAATTCAAAAAATTTAGAAATAATAATAATTTATTTTTAATTTCATTAATTAGTATTATAATCACCATTAATGATTTAGTTAAATGGGAATTAAAAAATATATTAAATCAATTTTAAAAATATCAAAAAAAAAAAGATTTAAAACGGCAGGATCCAACGTCTTTTATTTATTATAATAATAATAATAATAATAATAATAATAAAATTTAATAAATATATTTATTAGTTATAATTTCATTAATTATATCAAGAATAACTATATAATATTAATGATAAGTTATTAATTATTTTTATTTAAAAACAAAATTGATTATATGGAACACAACGAACTCAAATATATAATATATAGATAAAATTAGAGTTGACAGTGAATCGATTCGTGTTGGATTCGTATCGGGTTGAATACTTGAAATTAGTTAAATTATTTAACCATAACCCGACCTGTTTATAATCGTGTTTGGCTCGTGTTAACCCGTTTATTATCGTGTCGGGTTCAGGTTGACTCGTGTTGACCCGTATACATAATTAAGTCGAATTTCTTGATTCAAATTAAATAATTTTTTGTTATGTTATCGTGTTATGTTAGTTTTTATTGGTTTGAACGTAAATTAGATTGAATTATTTAAAATTGAACTTAGTTAAAATTAATTTATGAGAAAATTATTAAATTATGATTATTTTATATATAATAAATATATTAATCAATATTAATATTTTATAATCGGATTGTCGTATCGTGTTCGAGTTGAGAGCCTCAACCCTAACCCGAATCGTTTACTATCGTGTCGGGCTCGTGTCAACCCGTATACATAATCGGATTGAAATCTTTGACCCAAACCCAATTATTTTGTGTCGGGTCGATTTTTGTCAGCTCTAGATAAAATACAAGTGGTAAATAAATTACTCAAAAATATCATACCTCCAAACTTTTACAATTGCATCATAACCATTAACTTTTTAGGGACTGTTTGCTTCAGGTTTAGGAGGTGAGACAATTCTAAAATTTTTCATGTTTTGATTCAATTTTTTTCAGAGGGGAGAGGAAACAATTTTTTAAAGTTTTTTTCCCCTCCAATTTGGGAGAATTTGAAGCGGGGAGATTTTATTAATTTTTTTTTTATCTAATTACGCATTATATTCTTTAAATATATTATTAAAAATTTATTAATATCTTCACATTTTTAATTAAATATTTTAACCAAGTTTAATTATAATATTTTTTAACAAATCATATAAATTAATATATAATTATATCTATAATAATAATAATAACAATAATAATAATAATAATAATTTAATTTTGAATGAATAGTATTTAAAAAAATAATAATAATTTATTATCTTTCAAAATTAATTCCAATACAATCCTGCATTAAAGATATAAACAAAATGCTTAAAATTTTTATTTTATTATATTTGACAAATATATTTTAATGCCATTTTATGAATAAATTAATCGAAATTTATTAAATATTTTAATTTTTTTTTATTTATACAATATACGGACAAAATAGTAAAATTTTTCTATTTTTCCTCCCCTCACATACTTTCAGGAAAAAAAATTAATAACAAATATTCAATTCATCCAATTAGGTTGGATTTTACGTTGACATGATAATCTCATAATAATCTGAAATATAAAAATTAGGTCATCGGATGGGCCGAGCCCAAGCTGGACTTAGATTTAAATTTTTTTTTAAAAAAAATTATGTAAGTAATTTTTTTTTTTAGGTAAAATTGCTTATAACTCCCCTGTGTTTCGAAATTCGGCGTAAAATTTCTCTATACTTTAAAAATTGCATGGTACCCCTTTATACTTTAAAAAACGTTGCATGAAACCCCACCACCATGAAACTTTCTTCGTGTGATAAGAAGATGATTTTCTATCTATATGTTTTGCATGGCAGGGGAGTTTTATGTAATAATTTTTTAATATATAAGTGAGCGTCATACAATTTTTTAAAGTAGAATGAAGATTTATGCTGAGTTTCGAAACCACAAAGTGGTTTCATGGAATATTTTTTAAAGTATAAGGGGACGTCATGCAATTTTTAAAGTAGAGGGGAATTTACGCTGACTTTCGAAACCACAAGGGAGTTATGGACAATTTTGCTTTTTTTTTTTTATTAGATTGTTTAATGAAATTTATAATTTTAGATGTTTTAGTTTGTTTTGTATTTCGAGTCTATTATCTATTTGTCTTGTATCGTGTTTAAATTTGAAACTTTAGGATGAAAATCAAATTTCAAATCTTAATAAAAATACGAACTAATACACCTGTAGTAAAATCATTGAAAGTTTAAATTAAAAATTTTCAAATATGAATTAAAAATCTATAAAATATATAAATATTTTTTATAAAAAAAAAAAAAAAATTCCTCTTAGAAAATAGAGATAATTATAAAGCATTTTTTATTTAAATTTAAATTTTATTTTTTTACTCTTCATTAATTTATTATTTTTAATCACTATTTTATAATAAAAGATAAATTTGTCCATTCATACTATAAAACAATTACCTAAAATACCGTGCAAATATACTTTAGACAGTAAAAAATAAATGAAGAGAGTATAATATAAATTAATTACTATTATTATTGTATAAATTTATTTATCATTTTTTTCTTCAAAATTATTGCAATTTTCGTCTTCCGATGGATTCCCGGGGTAATCCAGAGGTCTTTTCTCCTGCTCCTCGTCTTCTACACCGCATCCAATCCTAGCCGTCGATCTCACTCTTTTAATCTCAGCCCTCGATTTCATCTCCTTCACCAGTTCCGCCACCGCCCCGCTCTTCTCCCTCCGGTGCCTTATCAGTACCTCGCCGACGTCCGCCGGCGTCATCTCCGCCGCACCAATCACCGCCTGCAACTCCTCCGGCAACTCCGATTCCTCCAATCCAAGGTAATTCTTCGCCAAAATCTTCACCGCCGGGAACGAACAGTAGCTCATATGAATGTGCAGATCCATCCGGCCGCTCCGGAGCAGCGCCGGATCGAGCTTCTCGATGTGATTCGTCGTGAAGACGAAGATCCTCTCGCTTCCGCAGCACGACCACAGTCCGTCGGTGAAATTCAGCAGTCCTGAAAGCGTCACCGCGTTTCCGCCGTCCTCCGCCGCGAGCTCGGCGGCGCTGCGGCGGTTCCCGGCGGCTTTTCTCCGATTGGTTAAGTTCACCGAACAGTCGATGTCTTCGATGACGATGATCGATTTGGACGTCGTCTTCATCAGTAACTTTCTGAGCTCGGAATTTGTACTGACCTCGCTCAATTCCAGATCGTAAATGTCGTAGCTGAGGTAATTGGCCATGGCGGCGATCATGCTCGATTTTCCGGTCCCCGGCGGACCGTACAGAAGGTAGCCGCGCTTCCAGGCGCGGCCGGTCTTCTGGTAGAACGATTCGCCATTGACGAAATCTTCGAGGTCGGAGATGATTTCAGATTTCGTGATCGGATCCATGGCGAGGGTATCGAAGGTGCTTGGGTGCTTGAACGGTACGGACTCCCATGGATGACCTCTGGAGTCTAGAGATCCGCCTCTGGAATTGGTGAAGAGGAGGCGGTCCTGGCTTTTCCGGCGGAGCTCCTCCGCCGTGTCGGAGACGAAATCGAGGTAGGAATTGAGGATTAGGTTTTTGTGCTTTTTTTTAATTCTGAGAGTGAAGCCTCTCTTCTCCTCCGGCAATGGCCGCCATGTGAAGGTCTGGTTTTGGCGCTGAGTGACGACGTGTTCCCACTCGACGGCGGCGCCGCCGAAGGAGTCGACGAGGCGGTCGTTGTTGGAGAGGCCGAAGGTGATGGCGGAGGAGTTGAGGCCGCGCGTGAGGCTCAGGCGCGTGCCGGAGATGGAGGCGGAGGAGCTCAGGTAGATTTGGACGGCGTTGTAGAGCTCGTTGGTGTTGACGCCGTCGATTTCGGTGATGTCGTAGTAGCAGTAGGCGGAGAAGTAGCCGGAGAGGCGGTAGAGGAGGCGGAGCGCCGCCACCCGGAGCTCCGGCGGGAAGACGGCGTGGAGGATTCCCTGGCAGAAAGCCCAAACTCCCATCATCGACGCCGCCGTCGTCCAAAACTCCTTCATTTTTTGCTTTTTTTGTTTTTGGCTATTTTGGATTCTCCGGCGGTGGCGGTGACTGAGAGAGCGCTGCGCAGTTCGGTGGCGTTTTATAGAAGAAGGTGATGGATCTCGGGAGCTAATTTATTGAAAGCGCCGGGTTGATCTGCACCGTTCAATTTCAAAGGTTCATTGAATTAATGGTTTGGATTTAATCTGGTTCTGCTCCTGGGACTTTCTAAACTTATAAATTTTAAGTGAATATGAGAAGTGTTAACTCTGTTTCATTTATAGGATTTGTAATGATTTCAATTATTAATTTCATTTTTTTCACTAAAAAAATATTAAACCAAATATGTATTTTTTATTTTTTATATTTATTTAAAAATTAATTTTTTACATTTAAAATATTACGTCAACGTCTATTTATATTACATCATATAATTATTCAAATTCAAAATTTTTACTATTTAAATCTCAACTCAAAATTCAAACCCTCAAACAAACAAAGTATAATATGGAGTATTAATATTTGTTGTGTAAGTTATATATTGTATTGTGTTTATAATCTTCTTATTGTACTATTGTGCTAAAATTAATACTCGTCCCAAAACACAACAAATATTAAAATTAAAACTACGTGCAAAACGCAAATGAGTACTTACTTTTGAGACGGAAGGAATATAATATATTATATCATAGCACATTATACAATTGCATAACACAGTATATACTGATTTCAGCACAAAATATGACACACACAACAAATATTTCTATATAACACAACATACATCTTGTGATAATTTGCTAATTATTTTAAGTTAATGTGTTAATTTGAAAACATATTATCTATACGTTGATTATTTGTTAATTACTTCAAGTTAGCTCCCTAGTCGTCATCATTTCTTAAATACAGTGTCATAAAATATGCATAAATTAATGTCGTAAATTATATAATACCGCTTATATTTTTGTAAGAATACACAAAATATTCTATATTTTATTTATTGCAATCTCGTATATTAAATTAAAGTACACAGAAAATATTTTTTCGTCCAAAACTGATGTTTTATTGTAAATACGTACTTAATTATACAAATTTTACACAAATAAAAATATAAAATCTCTTAAATAGTTTTTTTTTTGGAATAAAATAAATAAGTAAATAATTTATCAAGCAAATATTTAATTGGTTTTTTAAGACAAACTCTTACATAATATTGTTTTTTTAAAAAAATCTGAAATGAATGATTTATTATTTATTATTTATTTAAATAAGACTATTTGATTTTTTTATTTATATAAAATTTGTATAATTAAGTGTATGTTTATGATCAAATATCAATTATGGACGAATAAATGTTTTATTTAATACAAAGAAATCTCACGTAATAAATAAAATATGAATTATTTTATGTATTTTTACCAAAATACAAAAAAATATTACACAATTTACTCATTAATATATGGAAGGTATATATTAATTATTAGTATTATCTTATTTTTTTTTTTATTAATTGACATTGCTTGGATGAATATAATATGTATTTTATTGATAGTACAATGTATTGTCATATTGTATTTTAAAGGTGTGTTATTTTTATATATTTTATTTATTAAGGTTATTTTTAACCCATAAATTTTATTTATACAGTTTCAATTCAAAAGACATAATTGTTACAATATTCTTATTCGAACTCACAATTTTATTTTTCACATTAAAAAAATTATTTTTCAAATATTTTATTTTATATATTAGTTTAAACAACTTTTTATATTTACAATTCGTATTCAACTTTTATTATTATTAACATAATTATTGATTGTTACTTAATACTCCATCCGTCCCACATACTATGTCCACGTTGCCATTTCTGTCCGTCCCATATTCCATGTCACTTTCCTTTTTTTGAAAAATAATTACACACTTTAATCTCATTTTAAACTTTTTAATTTATTTTTAAAATTTTAATTAAACTAATAAGTTATCTTGATCTTAATTTATAATTATTTATATTATCGGATAATTATTTTTACTAATACATTCTTAATTATCTACTAATTATATCCCTCCTAAAATACACTGTCTACAGTGTACCAGACCCGATATATAGGACGAAGATAGTAATATATTTATAATATAAATAAATAATTATTTAGTTAAAGAGTGGGAAAAGAAAAAAAGAAAAGAGTTTTATATTTGATCATATTTATGATCAACTAAAAAAATTTTAAAAATTTAAAGATCACATGCTTTTTAAAAAATTCTTCAAAAATATAATGTAAGACATATTTCGTGGTCATCGGAGCATCCAACTCTCCATTATATTGCATTGTCTTTATTTTTATATAATGGAGGAAGTAATTATTTAATAATAATGTGTTAGTACTATGAATAATAAATAAATATAAATTAAAATAGGTATATTTAATTTTTTATTTTTTATTTTTTTTTTTATGAAAAATAACTTTGATTTGAGATTAATATATATAAAAGGAATGTATCATGTGTTAAGGTATCTTCTGACAATATGCATTCAATGCATTCCTAGGAATATATAATTTAAAATAAATTTAGGAGAGGATTATCCGAGATTTTCACTATTCATCAAATTTTTTTTTTTAAAATATCAAAATTAAATACCTATTTTTTTTATTTTTTATATTATATTAAAAATCATTTTTATATTTAAAATATCACATCAACACCTATTTATATCACATCATACAATTATTTAAATTCAAAATTTTTACTATTCAAATCTCAATTCAAAATTCAAACTCCAAACAAATACAACCATGTATGTATTTGAAGGATTTCGGGTGATTTCTACAATTTCCATAAAATTTTCCCCCAAAAAATCAAATAAAACACACATTTTTTATTTTTTATATTATACTAAAAATCAATTTTACATTCAAAACATCACATCAATACTTATTTATATCACATTATACAACTATTTTAATTCAAATTAATTACTATTTTTGTTACAATGTTTAGTTTAGATAATTGACCTTTTGCATATTTTCATATGTAGTAAAAACATATTTAAGAGACAAAAATATTATTATCTAAAAGTTGTTTATTTAGTATTTTAATTTGAAATATTATTTTTTAAAAAAATAATATCGGTAATATAAAAAAAATATTTTTTATTGAACCGTTGACTCTTCTAAAAATATTAAAATATAAATATTATATATATTGAAGAACATATCAACAAAAAAATTATTTAAAAGAACACACATTAAAAAAATACTCCAAATTAAAATACTAAACAAACACCCTCATTATATTTCATAGTGAATTTTTATTTTAAATATTCAATTTAAAACAACTCAAGTACAAGTAAATAAACTAATATATATATATATATATTTATTGACTGATTTAGGAAATTAAATTAAAAAATTTAATTGAATGATAAATATAAACTTAAAAAATTAAAGTAAATGAAAAATAAAAGACACAATATAGTTATTGATGTATTTTTTCAACAAACAAAAAACAAAATTCAAAGATATGGAAATATCCTCAAATTTGATTAATTAGTGCACGAGAGTATGAATATCTAAACACTGTACGGTACATAATAAAATTAACTAAAAATTAAAATTCTGGAAATTTAAAGTGGTGATCCCCGAATCTGACTTTGCTTTTGTTGAAGTTGATTGAAGATGTCTTCTTCGGAAAAATTCAAATCCTTAAATATTCCTTGAAGAAAATGCTTGGAACCGTCGTCTGGTTGGTTACAGCAACCGCCGTCAATCGCCCAAAAGAAACGTTTTGAAACGTCGTCTCGCCAACTGCATAACCCAACCGACTAATCCAGCGACTAACTGGTCGCTAGACCAAAAGACTCCTTGGCCGCCCCCACCAAGCGACCAAACTACCGTTCACTTAAGTGGGCAATCAATTACCAGACCTTACTTCGCCCGACCTCCGTAGCATAACTTGGTCCGACCACGGACCAACAGACTTGTTGGTCTGACCACAGACCTTCTGACTTACTGGTCTGACCACAAACCTCCCGACTTGCAGATCATCCGACTTATTGGTCAGATCGCAAACCTCCCGACTTGCGGATCTTCCGACCTGCGGACCGTATGACCTGTAGACCGTCCGACTCGCAGACTATCCGACCTGCGGACCTTTCGACCTGCGGACCTTTCCATCTGGAAACCGTCCGACCTGTAGACCGTCCAACTCGCAGACTATCCGACCTGCGGACCTTCCGACCGGACCAACCGACCGAGGACCAACCGATCTGCCCAACCGACCTGAGCGCAAATTTTTCTCCTTTTCCACCCGACTTCGTATCTAATTTTCTTTTAAGATCCTGCTATCCTTATTTATTATTATTATTATTATTTTTTGTGAGTAACAATTGTAAATTAATTTTTAATGCATTATTACCATTCTTAATAAAAATAAACATATATTTTATTTATTTTTTATGTAAAATGAGGTATAAATAATTATTTTACTTATAACATAAAAATATCACAATATAAAAAACATACAAATTACACATCCAAAACATCCAAATTACAAATCACACAGTGTTGTCTGCTTCTTTTGTGCCAAACCTCTAATTATTTTCTATTATTTGAACTTTGCGTTGTTCGAAAAAAAAAAAATTTCTCATAAAATATTATATCAAATATTATTTTAATATTAAATTCAAATCGTATTTTTTTTCCAAACTAATCAAAAGAAACACACCTGATCCATCGGATTAATCTCATTTATTTTGGCACGAAAGTTTAAAAAGTATTTTGTTAATATAGTTAATTAGTTTAATTTAATATTTATAATATAGCTTTTTATTATTTTATTATTTTTTGGAAAGAATTTAAATTCAAGTTTAAATCTAACTTCTTACAAATTTTTTACCTAAAATATCAAATTAAATAATTATTTTTATTTTTATTATTACAGTCAAATTTAATTTAACATTTAAAATATTATATCAATACTTATTTATATTTCATCAAATAATTATTCAAATTTAAAATTTTATTATTTAAAACTCAAGTCTATATTTTTTTTTTAAAAATTAAATTCAAAATCAAAATCCACTGTTCACTATTTTTTATCTAACAAATCAAACCAAATATATATATATATCTTTTATT